TGATAAGGAATCTAATAAAACAGGCTCTGGTTCTGTGTTCGCCTCACCAGTCTCTTCGTCGATGGCACCAAAATTGTCAACATCGTATGACAATAATGTAGGCTGTATCATGATCAATGAATTTCCCACATCTTCGTGCATAAATACATGTCTCACAAAGGAGGTTTCGTCTGGTGAATTATTGAAAATTCGTATGAATGGAGATCTCCTCAAATAGTACATAAACTGCGGTAATAATGCAAATGCCGCCGATAAACGGAATGATTCAAGCATACCCTTTGTGTATACCGCGTATCTGGTACAGTAATCAATCAACAGTTTGTCTAAATGCTTTAAGACGTCAGATGGATCGTAATGGGATTTATCTGAATTTTCGTGAATTGGTTGCAACTTATTGATTGATTCTCGTGCAATTAACACGATAGACGCTTCTTGATCAAACCCCAACTCTAAGTTCGTTATGTCAGTATCAGCAATCACTGTGACTGGGACAGTTGTAACTCTTAATCTTAACTCACCAGATGGATGCTGGTAGTGAAATAAATATTGCACGTAGCTGAATCCTATCGATGGCGAGTCGAGCTTATCAAAATAGATTGCATAAGTTGATTGAGGATTAGTGTTGCATAATTTCCAAGTATTCGTATTTCCTTCACCAATACTTACTTTAGAAATAATTGGTTCAATGTATCGATTATCCTTCCTGGAAGGTAATTTTGTGGCATTACCAATCAACCCTTGGATTTGTAAATCCAATGTGGTACGACATTCCAAAGTGGCGTTAAATGCCATATCCAAATAATCAGAGTTTTCCTCTTGTTGTTTGTTGAAAAATTTAATAAAACTTTGTTTAAAAATAGCAGTATTGAAGGAATCACTCATTACTACGACACCACCAGTCTTATAACAAACTTCATCCATTTCATAGAGACCAATCTGGTCATAGCTTCCAATGAAAATATTGCAACTTAATCCCATAGCCACTAACAGTTTAGTAACTTTTTCGTAGAATTTTTTAGCACTTTTAACTAGCGAAATGTCAGGCTTGGAATTAGATCCGTTTATTGGAACCGATGGTAATGTCTGATGTGCTTTTTCTATATCCTTATGTGATCTTATAGGCTCCTTTAATTGGTTACTGGCAATTCTTCCTGGTCCAAAAGTACAAACACCGCCGACAAAACACATAATATGGCCTCCTGTAGTACCAGTATCACCTAAGATTGCTGACAATAATAATGACGCTATATTCAAAGCAGAACCAGTAGCACGGCTAGCTCTTTCCTTCATTACTGGATATGGAAATCTATTTGGCACTAAATTTTCAATGATTGACGTCAATTGATATTCAGCCATACTAACAGGCTGTAAAAACTTTCTACCGATTGGCCCCAAAAGTTCATTTATTGGATCATGTTGGGAATTATGGCTACTTTGCAGGCGTAATCCGGCAGCTAAGAGACCTAATGACTTTTGGACCTGCTCTAAATTATACTCCTTACCACCATTATATGTGTGTTGTTTTCCTATTCCCTCCGACGATAAATCGTGAATGTGAACATTTTTACCGAAGGAAATGAACCCAACTAATGAATTTTCTGGTAATAGCGACAACGAAATAACCAACGATTCCTTCAACGATTTATATGCATCTTCTAAATCTTCATCCACGAAACATGTATCAACAACGTAAAAGAATATAGGTGGAAACTTACTCAATCTTCCTGTAGAATATTCGATAGTTGAGCTCTCAGGGCTTAAACCTGATGGTGCTACCTGGTTTTGACCCAATCTATTCGCAAATTGACAAAATTGACAGTACCAAACATCAGGTTGTTGTTCTGTCATCGTCACATATGGATTTATGAATGACCGACATTGGCGACATACAACCATATCATTTGCTGGAGCGACTGGAATACTGGATTTGTTATTTAATGGCGTATACATGGAGGCTAATGGAATAACATTTCTCTGGTGCTGTAATTTTGTTCTTGGAACACAATTCCATGAAAACCTAACCCCATCATTCTCTTCTCGTTGGTAAAAATCCATCCTATGTATAGCCTATTCCGTTTGCTATATTTCAGAAATATTCTGATATTACTGTTATCAGTCCTGAATGAATTTAAAAAATTCGATCTCAATTAGTTGACGGGTGAAAAAAAAAATTTCGAGTTCAAAATACAATACAATAGGAACAAGCCTACGCTTCATATGTACAAAAATATATCGCACGCTGTAGAAAAGTATATACATTTACTGTCTAACGACGTCTCTAATATTACCAAAAGAAAGGACTTCTTCAATTCTTTCGCTCCCAGAGAAGAGCATACATAAACGATCGATTCCGCATCCCCATCCACCCGTAGGAGGTAAACCATATTCCATCAGCTTTATGTATTCCCAATCAGGGATAATCATTTCATTATCATTAAACTGTGTTTTTGCCAATTGTTGTAGTTTAAACTTCTTAGACTGTTCAAACGGAGAATTTTCCTCTTCGTAGGAGTTGACGTATTCTTTACCCTGTATGAATAATTCGAAGCGCAAAGAAATATCATAACTCCTTCCATCGTAGTCAATTATTGCCGATTTGGCTAAAGGCGACAACACCGAAGGCTGATTATATATAAAAATGGGAGTTTTTGTATCCTGAGAAATTGATTCCAAATAGATAGATGAGAGATTATCGAGGAGATTCGAGGGAGATTTCAATGCGGGAACATCAAGACCTATGCTATTATAATATTCAATCAAGTTTTCGGCAGTCAACTCGCTTGGTAATGCTACCCCGGTCTTCAGTTCTAATGTAGGAATGAATTCGTACTTTGGAAAAGTGCCACTGGCCAATGCAGAAAGTGATGGCAATTGCTCGTCTACGAGTGATAACTGCTTTTCCTTTAATGTTTCAAAAATTTCCACGAATAGTTCTTCTGTTAATATCATCAATTCATTCAAGTTTGTAAATGATTGGTAAAATTCGCAAGTAGTAAATTCGGGATTATGGGTCAGATCAATGCCTTCATTTCTGAAATTCTGGCCTATTTCGAAGATCTTATCGAATCCACTAATGACCAACTTCTTTAACCAGAGTTCAGGAGCAACTCTCAACTGCAAATACTTGTTATTACCATCCCCCGTGGCTTTCAACGCGTTCAGAATGGTCTTGAAGGGCTCTGCATTGGCTCCCGTTCCATATCCTCCGAGGATAGGCGTCTGAACTTCCATAAAATCTCTCTTTACAAAAAATTGTCGGATTGCCTGAATGACGATGGATTTTATCATTAGTCTTTGCTTCAGATCGGCGTTCACTAAGTAATTCAAAACTCTGTTACTATTTATAAGACCCCTATCTTTGATCTTGTCGGGAATCGTCATCAGATTCAAGCACGGTGACGCTAACTTAATGGGTCTACATAGCTTTAATGACAATTCACCTACGTTGGTTACTGACGGATGTCCAACACACGAAATAAAGTCACCTTTTCTGAAAAACGCATGGGCATCATCAAAGCCTTGCGCTGTCATTTGCATGAGCTTATTGCTGGCCATTATCTGCATCTTTGACCTGTCTTGTATCAAATCTATGAAGTACATCGCTTTCCCTGATTTTCGTATACTTGTTATCTTACCCTCTATATTATATAGCTCAGGATATCGTTTGTTAGGATACTGAACAAAATCTACCGTCTCAAAAGACTGTCTAAAGCTCGGTATACGGCTTCTTTTAGCATCATTGGGTCTGATTGTATCAATGGGTGGATAGTACCCTTGGGGCTTTTGTTCGATTATAGTTTTCCTATTAGCATAATTTACCGTTTCACTCTCACTGCTACTCATTAATCTGCGTTTAATACTCATACCACCTTTGCCGACAACATATCTTCTAGCTCTATTAATCCACATTCTTGAAGATACCATGTACTAGGTATTTAGTACCAAAAACATGAATTTTTCATATTTCCCTGCAGATAGTCGCACCACCTCTTACCCGACTGCTATCTACTATAGACTCTGATCTTTGACATGTTCATTAATATATAGGTGCTTCGCTAGCATTTGGCAAAGCCGTTTCAGCCTTCTTCGTATGGTTTGGTGGGCCCTGTTTCTATTCCATCAGTTGTGAGGCTTCTAACGCATATTTAGTACGTATTACGTTCTTTCCTCAGATTTTGCAATCGATTCTATCTTGCCTCGTCTAAGTCCCACAAGCCCATGAGCAGTCTAGTTATGCTCGTCCGTTGGCCTGTTTCTCTTGCGATAGACGATACTCTGGCGCATGCCTCCATCCTCGTTTCAGACCTAAGCGATGATCAGGGCATTCCGAGCACTTGAATAGGTAGCTCGATGCACGAGTCCCAACTTGACGGGACAATGCGACATATAAGTTGAAATTGAATAACAATGTCGGACTGGTTATTTGCTTGTGTGTCCATGCCGTGTACCTTACGTTATCAGAGAAAACCCTAGTCAAATAGTGTGTTTTACTAAGCAGTGAAATTTAGCGGTGAAATTTTGGTATATTTTACTCGTATATGTTGTAGGATCTATATGGGTAGATTTAGTGACTGACTTTAGTGTGTGACAAGCTGTACTTATCTAATCATCTAATAGTCATCTAATAATCATCTAACAATCGTATTATCTAGTTATAATATTTCAACCAATATGACCAAATTGGTATCTCTGAGCACCAACTTCGTAGCCATACTTTAAACCAATCGCCAATAGTAAGCATCGCTACAGATAGACGTATTTAACGGGCACTACATCGTATATTGTTGGTCATATTGGTCGTTTATAGACAATAGCAATAAATTTGGTACTCAGTTCGTCAACGCTAATAGCCTCCTTGGGCAATACGCGGTATGCGGTATCAAAATTTTCTCAAAATTTAATCAGCGCAATCCGATTCAACACAAGTCTTTCTTTCTAAACATACGATTATTTGAAGGCCGCAACAGGAGGATATCCTGCAATAACAGTAGATAGTCAAGATGAGAAAGATCTGGAGTCAGAGAAAAGAACGGGACAAAAGAAAGAGTTTCATGCTGGTATATTCAAGCAATGAACAACAAGAACACGAAAAACCCAGCTGCGGTCATGGAGAAAGCGATGGTGTAGATGATCAATCGACATTGGCCAATTCAACCATTGGAAGCATACCTGAAAGTTCGGAATCAGATTATACAGTGGGAACCAAGAATTCGGTGAGATCGGTGTCAACACTCGCAAAGAATGATTACGATCAACACACAGTAAAAAATGCATGGCTCAATGCGACGGTAGGGACCAATTCAGTGCATGATATGAGCGAAAACATGTTGAGGGTGTATAGAGCTGAATTGAAGGGGTCACATATGTACTTGTACAAGCCAACAGTGTTGAATGCCAGACGGTTCCAGCTCGCTGACGCGACAGAAGAGGCCGATCAGCATTCGGATATTTTCAACCATAATAATGAATCCGGGGTGCTGGAGCAGTCTGCAGTGCAGGAAGACACTCTGGATGAATTTCCGCAATTGACGTTCTTCAGGATAGACATGGCACACCCAGGGTTGAAGTATGATTTCGACAGACGCCAGTTTTTGCTCGACTCGACCGTCGAAGCTCTCGTGCACTTTTTGTTGTTTCAAACCAACTCTCTCTATACTATATCCACAAACCAATTAATAGAGACGTTACCATTGTTTCCTGATTTTGGGGTGGTAATAAGGTTGGTTTTATCCTTTTTGTTAAACTTATTTGACTCAAAACTCCAAGGAGAAATTAATGAACAGATAATGACTGACAGAATATTACGATTATTATCCAACATACAAGAAAACTTCCAAGGCTTTTTAGTTAGGTGCGAGATCTACCCTATTATTTTGAAAATAATTGAAGTGTTATCAGATAACTTGCAGCACGATGATATTGTACATAAGGTACAAGCCTTTAAAACTAACTTGGTGGGAAAACAAAATTCTATAATCGAACTGGTTACATATGATCTACCATCTGAAAATCCTTTTCATGATTTGAATTCCAATGTATTTATTAACGACATTAATGTAATCGATTTTTCCAAGACAATCAATTTTATAGATTTAAACTTTTTCAAGAATTGGAACTCAAACATTGACAAATCGTTACTATTATATTCATCACTTAAAGATAACAGTACACAAGACTTTTTCTATAAAAAAAATCCATTGATTTTTGATAACGACCATCACATTCACTATTTGTCACGATTGCTTATAAACCATTTGTTCATTGAGAATATCAGTGGTAAAAACAATAATTTCTTAGAAAGAAAGGCCAGATTGATTGAGAAATGGATCGACTTGGGTTGTTTCCTTGAAAAAGCTGGTAACATGTCATCATGGCTTGGTATTGCTTCAATTATATTATCACAACCAATCTTGAGACTAACAAGAATTTGGTATCTCGTTTCACCAGATTATATCAGACTATTAAAAAATGATTGGTCGCCTGTTTTATTTGAGTTGGACAGAAGATTTCTTGTTAATGGCTCGATTAATAGTGATCAAATCTCGAAAACTTCTGATAGTTTGAATCTAAAGTTTGATGATTTCACTTCCAGAGATTCGTACCATATAATGGCACCAAGAGGTTTGGGTAAGATTTATCCTAAAGAAAACGTAATACCGTATTTTGGTGATTTAATCATGAACAATCATTCTACCGATATTGACGAATTGGAGTCTATATGGAAAAGAATTAATTATTCTTTTAACAGATGGAATGAATATTTGTCAAGCTTAACTAATTATGATGAAATCATTAAATATAATGATGATGTATTGAGAAGATATGATAATATGGGCTTTATCTTTTCAAATGAAAGTTTAAACCAGGTCCTATACTTAGGAGTTAATAGTGACGATACTAAACCTTTACCTGCTAAGTATAACGATTCGTCTTCCTCCAATATTAATACTGATTTGCATAAAAAACTATTAAAATTGATTGAAGTTAATTGTGATTCTACTAATCTAGAAAAAATAATGAAACTATCATTGTTGATGGAGCCCGAATTACCAGAATCGTACTTGAAAGTGCCTATAGATAATCAGTCTGCTAATTCAGACGGTCCTAATGCAACCATTTCCAGTATATCGATTCATTCAAACGATTCTCTGGGCTCGTTGAATACGCCTTTAAATGATAGTAATATTTCTTTACAAACATCACAACAACAATCTTTAGGAGATGATCGGGCATCTAAGATCCCGACATTCAATAATAATTATTTCAAGATTGCACTAGCGAAATATGATGATTTGCTTTTGCAAAATATTCTGGCAGAACAGAAAAGCAAATTACAAAGCTTAGATTCTTCTGTAATAAAGCATAATTTTGTAATTGATGACGAGTTGACCTTACGTGTTGACGATTTTATAACTGATTTAGAATCATCATTCATCAACTCATCAACTTTGCAGGGGTTAGAAGATGACGATGATGATGAAATCCCTGGTTTAGGAATTGACGTTGATGATATTTTAAATTCAGATAAATTCAATCATATTGATATCAATGATAATTCAGAGCCATCAACAGTTCAAAATGAAGAATACTCTATTAATAAAAATAAGCATTCCAAAAATTATAGTCTTATTTCCAGTGATTCGTCGAAGTTTTCTCAACATAACGGTTACATTCCGAAATATGCTTCTATTGATAGATTAATTGATTTGCTATTAATTGATGCAAAATATTTTAATGAAAATATTTCCATCAATTTGTCAGAATACAGGTTTGTATTTTTATTGAATTATAATTCCTTTATAACCACTAAAGAGTTATTGGATAAATTGTCCCACAGGTTTATTAATTCAAGTAATGCAATTATTTCAATTATGAAAAAATTGTACCTTATAAAACATGGAAATGTCGATATTCAACTGCAGCTAGAATTCCCAAACTGGAACCTCGACACTTCAGTCAATATAAGTGAATTAGGTAATGTTGACTATGAAGCTTTGCTAGAAATTCAAACAAATATTTTAAAAGTATTAATTGTATTGATTAATAATTTTTACTCCAATTTTGTGAATGATTTGATTAATAAAAAAATATTTATTAAATTATTAAAATTATTTAGCAATGAAATTTTGCAATGGTATAATTCAAATAAAATTGATTCACGCCTAGAAAAGGCGTTCGATAATTTAGTGAATTATTACAAGAAATTGAAGAAGTTATTCATTAAAAAGACTTACAGGCCGATCGAAATGCTGAAGTTTGACGAATATCTTATTAAAGAGTTCAGATTTAGTAACTCGTTACATGATGTCCCAATTAATAGAAACTTACCGGGGCATAAAAATTTAAATAAGGTGGAGAAATTCTTACATAAGTTCAACAAACTATTGACTACATTTTATAAGTTGATAAAGACGGAAGATTGGATAAAGATCTATAAAATTTTAGAGAATCAATTTGAAAAGCATTCATTGCTAGGTTTTAATATCCAAAAGGCTTCTACTAACGATGATAACATGATTATCTCTAACATTTTCAATTTTTTTGAATCACTTTCAGATCCTCAAGAAAAGCAATTAGTTTTGAAACAATTTCCGCTAGTTTTCCGTAAACTTTTCAAATTATACTTCAAGTTTAGAAGTTATTTGTTAATTCAACTATCTGATTTGAATATCACCGTTGATGAAAGATTAGATCGTATGAAAACATTGTTACTTATGCTTAAGATTTCTAAAATGAAAATGAGTGACAATCAGTTTGTTTTTGAGGGCGACCAAGATAATATTCCATCTTGTATTGAATCTGCAATTTCTAATGTTATTTATTTGCCGGAAAGTAGATTGTTTGCCAGCTTATGGATAAAAGCCTCGATGAGTTTAAATGACGATTCATCAAATTTATCATTTGATGATATCAATCTGTTATTACCTACAAATATTAATGACGCTAACTTTGCTATTAATGAGCCATTGTTACCTTGTTTCGGCTGGATAATTGAGAATTTAATCGAAGCGAATAAATGCCCAAGCTTTCATAAACAAATAATTAACTTCAATAAGAGGTATTTAATTTACAAAATTATAAAAGAATTGTGTATTGAGGATATTGATGGTCAAGAATCAAATGGATTCAATTGTCATGAAAATAGAGAATTCGACTTTTTATTGAAATTGGATGAATCGCTAGTTAATAGGCAAAGAATTAAAGACTTTATTGTTGGACAAGATAAAGAAAGATACAGGCTATTCCGGTCTGTTTTACATGATCAACATAAGATTCTAGCATTAGATAATAAAAAGAAACATTTGAGGGATGGTAGTGGTTCAAATACGAGTATGAACCCTACTTCATCAATGCACACCTTATCAAAAAAGTCATCGAGTTCCAGCTTGAGGCGTCAATCGTTATCTTATAAGTCAAATTCATCTTCGAGGTTTAAGATTAGTGGAATATTCAGTAAGTCAAGGCCATTTTCTTTAAATGCGTCAAGTACATCAGAAAGGATCATAAGTTCCAATGAATTGCCCAATGCAGAATCATATACTGATCAGAAGCAAAAACCATTTTTAATTATCCCGTTGAAAAACAAGAAAATCTTTCCAGTGTACTCCTTGCCTTTCGCATTCAAAATCGATTCTGATTCTCCAAATGAGGATTCTTTCTTCCAAGCACCTAATGAAAGTGAGTTGAATGATTGGCTCGTCAAATTAAATTACGCTAATCGACACTGGTTTTATTCTAAGAATTTAAATCTTAAAGCTAATCATGCTTGCAGTACGTTTGGAATTCCAATTGAAGTTGTATGCAACAGAGATCAATCTTCAGTACCTAAATTTTTGGTTGTCATGTTTGAAGAGATTGAGAACGAAGGCTTAAAAGATACCGGAATTTATAGAATCAGCTCGGCAGTAAGTGAGTTAAATCATGTCAAGTCTATTATCGATAAAACTGGAACTATAAGCTTCAATGAAAGGGCTTACGATCCTCATACCCTAGCAAGCTGTGTTAAATCTTATTTTAGAGAATTACCCGATGCCCTATTAATTGATCTGGTAATCGAAAGTTTTTTCAATCTAGAGAGAGAATCGCCTGAGAAATCCGATAATTCAAATGTTATTGAAAATTATAGGCAGATATTAAAACACCTACCTACCCCAAACTACCAGACCTTAAAATTATTATTAAAGCATTTACAAAAAGTTTCACAGTTCAGTGAACATAATAAGATGACTGCATCAAATTTGGCTACCGTAATTGGACCGGCCTTAACTGAAGCAAGCAATTTAGATTGTTTAATCAACAACTTTGGTTTCATGAATTCCATTTTGGAGAAATTAATTACTAACTATGACTATGTATTCTAAGATGGATCGTAAGTCATGGTGATACCATATATGCATCAGGACTCTTTTTTTTTCTTTTAACATTCAGTTCACTTATTTTAACTAATTTATACATAACGAAATACATAATTTATTTCTGGTTTGAATTCTTTCATTTTCACGTATATATTTAAACATATATTACTATAATAACAGTTTCTTCGGTTGGCTATTTACAATCTAGTTAATGTTTTTTAATAAATCCATTACTAACTCCATTCTTTCTCTTATGGATAGCACCTAATTTCGTATTAGACTCTTTCATTTTCTTACCGACATTTTGGTTCATGTTTTGATTGAATTCTTTCCACCATTCACTAACCGTTGCTGGAGGTTGTTTTGCGCCAGGAATCGATGCAGGAGGCACAATTGGTGGCATTTTGGCAAACTTACGGAAGTATTTATTTCTCAACACCAAAGCCTGGATAAACGAAAAGATTGAATTGGCCGCAAAATACAACACAACGGCTGCTGAAAGCTCCTTAGTAATAAAAATAGAAAGAATTGGAACATAAGTCATAACCTTCTTCATCATTGGATTCATAGCAGCTGCACCAGTTTCACCACCTAATCTTACCATGCTAACAACTACAGCGGCAGAGATAATTTGCAATCCACAGTATGGGTCGACTTGAGTTAAATCTTCGAACCATGCATTACCTTGGGTAGAAAAGCCCTCAACTGGGTGATTAGCCATCTTTCTTAACCCTTGGAAAAATCCATAAGCAATTGGTAGTTGTAATACAGGGAACATCTGGTGCGACATATGCACATCATTATCTTTCATTAAAGCTTTTCTTTTGTGGGCAGCCTGGACTTGTTCCTGAGGGTTTTCTGCTTCTCTTAATTCCTGCATAACTTGATCCAATTCAGGTTTGATTTTAGCCATTTTTGCCCCGTTAATGGAAGCTTTTACATATAATGGAAACATAACAGATCTAACTGCAACAGTTGTAACTATAATTGTGACCCACCATGGTAAACCTGTGTAGACATGCGAATATTCTAATAAACGTTCAATAAGTGCAGTTGGCCCGTACCCTTGTGCTAACCCAATAGAGTCTAAATACCCTAATTGATCTGACGTCATGTCACTAACATATCCGGTAGGACTTACTTGGTGATCAAAAGATGTTAATTCATTTTTGATTTCTGATACTTTATCGGCGATTTCACTCGATTTGGTGGAATTAAAACGAACAGTCGAATTTTGGTTAAGAAAAACCGGTGTTACGGACAAAATATTAGGTCTTAATACATTTTGTATTCTAATGGCTCGCTGCGACCGAGCCATACATGTCCTGAACATATTTTACTTATATCTCTGTACTAAACAACTGTTCTATTATGATTGTCAATACTTGAAGAATTTTTCAAATAAATTTTGGTGATAATCGTGATTATGTAATCGGAAACGGTACTAAATAATTTTTCAGCTATCAATAAGTACAACTCTGGTTAGAGGCCATACAATAGTGGGTACATAGAATAGATTAATAAAGAGACTCCCCGATTGAGTTAACAGGTGATGTGGTCCAGACATCTTGGAAAGAAGTTTTTAAAACCTCCAGTATCAGATATAAAAAGGTCATATAGTGCATTATGCCAATCACACAACTACAGAAATGATAAGATATATGGTCAATACTACGACAAGTTCAATGAAGTCAAACAAAATCCAGACCGTAATTCTATTATAGGTATACTTGACAGTGCTTTTTATACCACCCCCATCGATAATAACGACTCATACCTCATGAATGATTTCCTTGAAACTATATCCAACATTCCAAATCATTATCATACATACGTAGAAGAGTACTTAGAAAATTTGAACGGACATGAAATAAGAGATTGTCTTAAACAAAATATTGCACTCCAGTTGCATCTCAGCAGTAATAATTCTGATCAAGCAAAAGTTTATCAATTCATAATCGAAAACTTGCATCACAAATTGAATGTCAATTTGCTAGAGATTTTCATATTCAACCTTATAAAAGCAGAGAACATAAGTGCTGCTACTACTTTATTGCATATTCTTCTTGACAAGGTTCCTAACTTTAATTTGAGTAATGAATTATGGTCCTATTATATATCTAAGAGCTGTGAATTGGGGCATTATCTTGGCTCATGCTTAATATACCACGAACTTATAGACAATCATCAAACTCGTTCTGAAGAATCAACAGGCATTAATTTTCAGAATAGCCATATTCCATTTTTGGTTGCAAATTCTTTCTTAGAGAAATTGGGTCTGATATTTCTGAACAATTGTGATCCCATGAGGATTAACGGGGTATTAAATTACCTTAAGAGGTTTTATTCGTATTCAGGCCATGCAGATACTTACAAGTCGTTAAGATGTTCACTTGTAGAAGCCTACAGTAACGAAGGTAATTTAGGGGAAGCCCTCAAGCATTTTCGTACCCTCGCATTTATTTTCAAAGGACATAGAAACCATAAGAATGAAAGCATGTCAACGCCTAAAATGTCTGCATTTAGTCATTTTCGATGGAGAAGAGACAATATTAAGAACAATTATGATTCCATATCTCAGATTCCTGATGAAATAAAAACAAGCCTAGATTTTCAAGAAGAGGCGTCATCAAAAGAGTTAAATATGAAATTGTTCAGGCCGGATGAAGAAAGAAATGTATATACATATCCAGGACATTCTTATACTCCTGTTGTCGATGGATCGTTGAGATTAAGCGATTTGCCTTATTTTCGCTCATTAATAAACTCAAATATTCAACATTTAATGAAGAATTCGGGACCAGAACGTCTCGATTCGTTAATGAACTATATATCAGGATGTCATTTCATGCTTCACATATTTATCAACTCTTGTTTGTGTGAGTTAGGATATATAAATGAGGCATTTCTGTTGTTAGTTAAATTACCCAAGATATATCCAAAAGTTTATTCAAATGTTCTTATTCGAGAGGAGGACTTCATTTATCTATTTGAAGCTTGCAAACATAGGTTAAGCAACCTTGATATTGATAATGATTATACGCAGTTTAATGAAGCTGAGCAAACATACCAGTTACTTCATGAAATAAAATTATTCCAGGATAGCGTCAATCAGAAAGCAAACCTTAACGTTCTTTCGATGAAACTTCATGAAATTTACATTTCAACCTTGTTGTCATATCGAGGTATTACTTTAGAGAAAATTCTGGGTTACTTAGACAATCTCTTACGTTTGTCTACGGTTAATAATCCAATTACCATATTCTTAGATGAACCAGAATTCAATAAGTTGAAAAGTCTATGTTCAGCTACAAACGAATCGAAGTATTCTAAATTAGTTCGCATGAGGGATTAGAGATTATTCCTTTTCATCATTATAATTACTATTATTAAGATTAATATTATTATATACATGTAAATAAACATTGTACATAGCATTCGTAAATTAGTTATCACTTCTTGGGTCATTCATTTTATGAATCTTCACATCTTTGCTGTCCAAATCACCTACTACTGCAATATCTTGAGGAGTAATGAAAATAGATTGAGACTTAGGATATTTTCTCAATTCACTTAATAAAAGCTTAATACTGATAGATCTATTAACCGAGTCCATGAAAACATCAAATTCATCCAATCCACGTACTTTAGAATCCATTACTTTCCAAATAGCTAGTAATAATGCTATTTGAGTAAATGATTTTTCACCACCCGATAAGGATTCAACAGTTCTTTTTTTAGAGTCGCCTTTGGTTTGAACTAGCATGGTTAAACTCTTCTCACCAAAATCAAACTTTAACTCCCCTTTAAACCCTCTTAATGCTAAAGATCTTTCAAAAGACGAAGATGCTTCATTAATATTCTTTAAAATTGTTGTATGTAAATAATTAAATCTACTATTCAAATCATCCGATAATGATCGATAAATTTTATCTAAATCTATTACTCTTTCTTCGCAGACTTCCTTAGTCTCCTTATTTGTTAATAATTCTTGCTGGATTTCTTGATAAGATCTGCCAACTGATTTTTCCGCTTCTTTGACTGCCTCTTGAGCCCTTTCGTATTCGGTACTAATAGATTCATTGGTATCTTCGTTTGTTATATTAACTTGACTCCTTGGGCATTTACTTTCTGCATCTAGAACAAGAGGAGCAAGTCTTTCATTACCCTGTGTGATCTTAGTTTCACATACAACCATTGCATCTCGTCGTTTGGAAGTCGTCATTTTATAGTGCTCAGTTTCCGAAAGCATGGCCGATCGTTCAATTTCACATTCAACGAGTGCCTTCCTGGTATCCTCTTGTAGTTGTAGTTGTTCTTGTATTTCTTGTTTGAGTTTCTTCATATTTTCCCTTACTGTAATGAACTGCGAGCGATCCTTCTCTAAGTCCTCATTTAATGATTCTAAAATACCCTCTTTCTGAGATGCCTGAGCTTCGACTTCCGCAATTTGAATCTTCAAAGCTTCAATTTTAGATAAATCACCATTTTCGTTAAGACTATTTTCAATTTTGAAAAGCTCGTCATTTAGCCTTCTAGTTTCTTTTTGAATCGTTTCATATCTATTTTCTAGATTCTGCTTTTCGTTCTGTAATTTCATTTTTATTTCCCGTTTTCTTCTTTCTAACTTATTAATCTTCACAATTTCTTCATCAACTTGCTCATCTGTTTTCTTAATATCGTTCGTACTAGATTGAGATTTATTAGATAGTTTATGTGGTTCATTGAGTCTGTAATAAATGGGGTCAATCTTGAATGTATTTCTGTCACCACTTGATCTCTGTCCTGATTTACTATTTAAAAGAGAATAAACGTTCAAGATCTTGGGGTAGGTAACAAGATCTCTAGTTTTATTTCTATCATCGCATATAACATTCTTCTCGATACTGTTTAAATCAATAAGAGTGTATAATACATTCTCATTTTCTATAGATAGAATGTCTAAGAACGTAGTATGGCCGTAAGCTATTCCATCTTCAAAATTAAAGCTTTCAAATCTTCTCGTAATGATATTCTTATTTATGCGATATTTTTTGAAAAGACCACTTAAAATTTTCCTATCATGTTCATCACAAACAAGAAAAGAATCAAGAGTCTTGCCGATCGAAGCATTTACTAAGTCACGCCAATCAGAATATTCTTCCTTGACGGAGACAAATGATCCAATTGGACCAATAGGTTCTTGATGCCATTGATTTATAGCCTTAATATTGGCTAGCAAATGAGTTATATTGTTTCCCCATGGTGAATATTTATCCTTTTGTGATGCTAAGATTCTCCTTTTTTTTTCTTGAAGAGTAGACACTATTTCCTTGGATTCATTAACCTTTTTTTCGCAATTTAGTAATTCTGAATCGTTATAATTCCCAGTTTCGTTTAGTTCGGCTCGAACCCTTTCTCTTTCTTGGGCTAAATCTTCTAGTTTTGCTTTCAATTCTCCTAAACTATCATTGAGTTTTTCTTTCGATCCACCATTAATCTCATCAATCCTTTGTTGTTCTTTGGCTATTATATTTTGACATCTTTGGATATCATTATGAAATCCCTCAATATCTTCTTCGCCCTTTTTAATTTCATTAATAACCTCATTAATACCAGATTTCAACCTTTGATAAGTCATTTTAATCTCTTGATAAGAGTCCTGAGCTTCCACAATTTCCTTTGAGATGGTGATATTTTTGTCTTCCAATTTTTTCACATTTTGTTCACGTTGATTAGATTTCTGTTCAATTTCTTCAAATTTCTTCTCAATCACCTCAATATCGTGACCTGCTTGTTGCAACTGATCTTTATATTTCTGAATCTTCTTTTCTATTACTGTAACATTATACCAATATATCTTAGCGTGAATAAGCTCTAAGTGTCTTCTTAAGGAATCGGATTTCTTAAATTTATTATACAATGAAGCAGACTCGTCATAATTCTTTGTTGCAACGTCTAAATGAGTCTTTGCAAGTTTTAGTTTGTTCTGTACTTCAACGATATTTCCACTTGTTATTCTATAATTCTCTATAATATCATTAATTAAGGAACCGGCCATAAAATAATCATACTTAACTTTATCAGTCGTCAGAGTTAAAAATTCTCTTGCTTTATCTTGTGACAAAAACGCTAACGGATTGTCGATAGCTATATTAAACTTGTACAATATCTCATCTAGAACAGACTTTTTGGTAGAAATTGTTCTAAGGTTTTCGGACCTAATAAAATATCCATTTGAACCCTGTCTTTGAATTTTTCTTTCAACTATAATCCTAGACCCGTATTCCTCTGGCTTATAGGCTTCTATACCTTCATTTCTAAAGACTACTGTCACTCTAGCGGTAGACTTTCCATCTTTGATTAAATTCTTAATAGATGACCCTCTACTGGTATCAGAAGCTTTAACCCCTAAGCCTACCGAAATACCCGTTAGAATTGCACTCTTACCAGATCCGTTTCTACCTATAATAAAATTTAACTGAGGGCCTAAATTCAACTCAAAAGAATCGTGACACATGAAGTTCTTTAAAATAATCTTCTCAATCACACCGGCTTTCGCAGGAGAGCTGTCAACTTGATCTTCATTTTCAAGTTCATCATCACTATCTGAATCTGATTCTGATTCCGAATCATCTGACCCTTTCTGAGTCATTTTTCTTCGTTTACTTTCTAATATTTGAGACATATAGTCAGATACACTCTGTTCTCGCTAACTTGGTTAGTAATTTGATCCGTCGTTGATCTGCTCTGAAAACAACATACCATTGGGTTAAAAATATCACCGTCTTCTTCATCTTCTTCTGCTCGCCTCTTGGTGCCTCTATACCCATCAGAAGCGGGCACCGTCATCTTAATAGTTGTATAAAGTTTTGGTTTTATTTATATTTGAACTGTTATCAAATAATTTTTCATTAAGCGCGTAGTGAAAATTAATGAGTAAGCGTGATGAATAGTTCTTATCAAGATATTTAGACTTGAAAGAAGCTACCTTAAGATACGCGTTGAATAGTAGCCTTAATCTATTCAACGCCTTAATCTTCTCCTTCATAGACAACAATTCATTTTGTGCTTTGGGAACCCCTTTAATAGCTCGCATGTAGGAAGAAGTATGTTGAAGTATGCTCATGCATTTGGTGGTTTTAACTAAGCACAGCGGTCTCTTCGGACGAGTTTCTTCAAAGGTTTCAAGGTTTGAATCGGTATTTTTTTTTGTAGTATAAACCTTGAATTATAATTTCAATGCTCTTCAGATTTTAGTTTTAGAGCATTAGAGCTTGGTGAGTCTATTATTCTTGTCTTAGAAGTAAATATTTTCTCTTATGTAGAATATCGCCTCATTAATTAATTTATAAGCATATACTTAATTACTTATTTAAAGCCTTACGGTTACTTGATTATGTCTACGTTAGTAAAGGTACTAAATGAATCAGGTGCGATTTTGCACCCAACCTTCTGATATTGTAGTTTTAGTCATTGTATACAGCAGAGAAGGCTGAACTTCATGGATATCTGCCGTTGATGTATCTGCGTATATAATATTAATTAATAATTCTAAAGGTTAAAAACTCTACCAAAAAATGAAGTGAAACAAATAATCAAGTAAATTAACTACTTGCTGATCACAAGTCTTCCATTACACCAAACCATAACGCAATTTCTATCATCACCACAAAAGATCCATTTTCCCAACAAATTAAGCACGCCAGTTTCTGTATCTTCATTGATATTCTTCAAATCAGGTACATTGCAAGGGAAAATATCGATATTGGAATTAGCAGAGTTCAAATTGATCATCTGAGCGTCCCATCTCTTGCCTATGGCAAATGAGCCGATTATACTATCTAAGCCCACTGCTTTTGCACCAGCTTGAGTTGCCATGTAAATCGCATCGGCCACAGAAAGCTTTGGGTCAGACGCTGATTCGTTCCTCGTTTTAATTGAGAGATGATGCGATACCAAGATTGTTTGTTTGATTACTTCCAATATCGACGGACTGTATCCTCCAGAGACATCTGAACCTACTGACACATTTATTTTGTCTTCATACAAGTACTTTTTAACTGGGGCTTCCCCACTGGCAATAAATGTATTTGATGTAGGACAATGAGAAATAGAGCAGTTTCTACTTTTAATTAATTTCCTTTCTTTCTCATTTAAGTGAACTCCGTGAGCTAATATTGTAGACGAGTTCAATAACTTAAAGTTGTCGTAAACTGAGGCGTAATTTTCAAATTCTGGGAATAACTTTGCAACCAATTCAATCTCGTTGTGACTTTCACTAATGTGTGTTTGTATAGGAAATTCCTTAGTGGCAGCTAATGAACCCAAATATTCTAATAATTCCAGTGAACAGACAGGGGCGAATCTGGGTGTAACAATAGGTTTTATCAATTGTTCGCCTTTTGGGTTGGTATTTTCGTAGTATGAGGTGATTAATTTCATAGACTTCACACAATCATCGTGATCTTCTTGGTAGCTTTCGAAGACATCATTCGAGTCCATACATACCTTTCCTACAAACCCTCTTTGTCCAAGTTTTAAGAGTAAACCGGCAAATAACATCGTAGTGTGAGGATCAATGGTGGTAAAATATGAAGCACAAGTAGTACCATTTTCGAGGGTCTTTTTAATGATTTTATGGTATACGTCATAGGCAAACTTCACGCATTCTTCGTCTTTTGGATTAGTAAATCCATTTTCTAACTTGTATGTGTAATTTTTTAACCAATCCAATAATTGGCACCCCAACCCAATACCTACATTTGGGTACTGTGACGCGTGGATATGGGTATCAACAAACCCTGGACAGAAGAATTTCGTAGCATCATCAGAAATGTCAACATAGTGCAACTCGCTTGGATCGAGTTGGTTCCCCTGTTTCTTATATTCCTGTTTGAAAAACTCGAGAGCCAATTGCCCATCATGATCGTAATTCTCATGAATGAAGTCAATTGTTCCCAGCTTATTGACCCCAAGCAAAGTATTAAGACAAACCTTCAATTCTCCTAAATTAGGAGTATGTATAAATGTACCATAATATAACGTGTATGGGATAGGCTTCATAGCAGCCATCTCAACTTCATTTGATTCACTCATTATATATAGCGACTTCCGGTAAAAATCGAGTATTAAGTTTGGATAATATCTACCTTCCTATATTATCTTCTCGATATTAGCCTTCAGACTTGTTGAACGAAACGCAATTGCCTATATTTATATAGGTTTAGTGAAAGTTTTGATAGTGAAAGCTTTCGGATGAGCCCGCGGAGCAGATCAATGATAACAATTTTTCGCTACGCAAGTCTATAATAATAAGCCACTACAGACATTTACTTAAGGCATTTATTTTAGAAAAAAGGTATCAACGAATTAAAGATATACGGAAGAAAGGAATCATTTATTTAGTTTATAACAAAGCAACACCGGCTAAACCAGCTAAGATAGCACCAACGGAAAGACCTTGGACATTAGCACCGTCTACAGATTGGGTTGGAACAACTGGAACACTTGAACCAGATGAAGAACTCGAGACAGTGGTTGCAACACCAGCCAACGAGGTAGATTCATCGTCGGATCCGGAGCCACCAGCAGCTTGCGAGGAAGCTTGGGTTGGGGCAGCAGAACTTTCAATGGAAACAGCTTGCGAGGTAGCTTGGGTTGGGGCAGCAGAACTTTCACCGGAACCAGATTGAGAAGAAGCTTCGGTGGTGGAAGCAGCTCCAGAAGAGACAGTTCCAGAAGAAGCAGCTCCGGATGAAGCAGCAGCACTGGAGGAAGCCTTGGTGGAAGAAGAAGCTCCACTCGACGACGATGACGAGCTGGAGTGGCCTTCACAAGAATCTTCAAATGCTGACTTGGCACTCTTTGCATCTCCATCTGGACAGATGTCATCTAAACACTTCTTGACATCGCTACCCTTGCTAGAGCAAATACAAGATAAATCATTTAATCCAGTACAATCAGACTTCTTTTCGACCTGAGCAACACAAGCTAATAAACAGGCTGGTGGAGCGGCCAAGGTGGTGGAAATGTATGATGCTAATGCAACTAAGGTTGTAATTTTTAACATGGAGGAAGGCATTATTGTATTATGAGCGATAGACTATTCTATGATACCTAAATCAATTATTTGTATGAAAAGAAGGAATATATACAATGTTTTCTAAACACTTATGTCCAATTGTTCCCTATAAATCAAAATAAACCTATTTTTAGTAATTATTCCACGACATTGTCGCAGAAAATTTTTATTATATACGCGACATTGTCGCACTACCTAATGGGATCACTTCTAGACCTTGTTTAGATAGGTCGAAGGTTAAGTCGAATGTTTATGTAAGCATATTATATCATCCTGAACTATGATTGTGTGTGGTGGAGGGAGGATTCGTGGTGGATGTCCAATTTTATGTTATGTAATCTTGTGACATGAATTCGCACCCCCGACTTCTAGAACGCTTTCTTGCTCTCCTAAGTGGATTGCTCGACCGGGAAACCGGGCACTTCGTTAAAAAATGTATAGATCCATACACCAGAACCCCCCAATCTTCCGCCAGTTTCACCCAGTGGGTGAAATTTTGGGGGATCTTTTGGTGGTCTTATTATTATATAAGAATGCGATCTATCAAGCATGCTTAGTCAGGTTGCGACTACCACCGGATGGCTGCACAGAGATTACTACCCTCATATAGTAACAGAAGGTCGAACTCACCAATGATTGCCTTGAATACCGCTAGAACTTGGACCCGCAAGGTTCCGTTTAGCGCTTTACGCAAGATGTCCATTCCTATGTTACTATCCATGACAAACGGGATGCGAGGTGTTGTGTATACCCCTGGAGGAATAAGTAAGTACTGATCCGGTTGTACATGGCCCAACTTGGTATTCTCGTATGAAGCTTGCGCCTGGTATATTTTGACGGCAATTTCGGCATTTTCGAGAGGGTTGAAGAGTGTTAGCTCCAATTCGGATGAGAATATGTGGATGGTGGCATCAATGAGGAAGGGCGACTGGTGTTTGGGGTGGTGGTCAAGTGGATGGGGGAGATTTTGCACCTGATGGGGCGAGAATGATACGTTGGGTACTTGAATATCATTGATCGCTATTTGAGATAAGAAGTTGCTAAGGCCATGGTTGTTGGATGAGGAGGTGTTAGTACCCTCTACTGAGAAATAAAGGTCCTCGTAGCCTGATATAAACTCGCCAATAAGGAATTCCAACATAACCTTGCCATGGGTCGTAGTTGTGTTCAAATTGAGGTTGAAAGTCATTTTAAAATACTCATCAGTTTGGGGAATCAAGATGTCGGTTGTGCTGACATTCCCGATAATTGTATCGTTGTATGTGAGCTGTAGCGAGATGGTGTCGTCAGGAACATCTATTGAGATATTGGTGGGATTCAACAAGCTGCAGTCGATCATCAACCTTAATTCTTCTTTACTCGAGTCAACGTATAAAATATTGTCAACGGTTATGTTGAGGGTATCAATCACACCTCCAATAGAGTTGATGGATTCGACAGGAGGGTTCAACTGTACGCTGGGTAAAATTAGATGTTTTAAGGTAGTGGTTAGAATGGGCATTGACAACTCCACTTCATCAAGTATCATATCCAAGTATATTGAGTCTGTTATATTGTTTCCATTAAGTAGATTGTTTGCTAATATACCCAATCTTGCTGGTCCTACGCTATCAGCCTCGAAATTCGACAGCGCTATATCCCATTCCAAAAGATTTTCATCATCATACCTATGCAAGTCCATTGTGTTGTTAGTATTTGACCAACCTTTCATTAAGGTTTCTGATTCATCTCTCAATGATATGCTATTTTGAAACCTAGGAACTCCGAACGTAATGTCAAATATCCCTGGAAACGTTGTTATCATGGAGACATTAGAGCTCAACGCACAGCTGAACAGCTCACGGGACTTTGGGGATAAAACTTCTAGAAATAGTGAGCTGATATCGTATTCTTTAATGTATCTCAAAGTATTGTCCTGGAAATACGGCAAACTAACCAATAGTTTATATCCTGCTTTTTTTAATACATATAATAGCCACTTTGGTAAGTTCTCCTGGTTCTTTTTATTGTTCGATGCACTAATATTAATTGCAGTTGCTTTACCTTTTAAGTAGTCCTGAACCAATTTATTTATTATAGTAATATTATTATTACAATCTTGTAACAATTTATCTGGGATTTCCCGTATGAGCCCATTAACATCAAATTCCACTGGGGAATCAGGTTGTATTGATAAACTCGAACTATGCCACTCTCCAAGCTTGACTAGTTCTTTATTACAACCTGCAATAGAAATATCCCAATCGATCGCTTCCAATTCAGCTTTTATTGGAAATTTATTATCCATACTAATTGTACTGTAGAATTCAATCTCCGTGCTATTCTCCGGATGCTGTTGTACAGTCAACTTATCAAGCAAAACTGTTGGGGCTAAGTCTGTTTTATTCAAACTGTAATCAAAGTAAAATCTAGCATTCTTTGTAGAATATTCGAATAATTTGGATTCAATAGTAGAGTCAAATATGCCAGTTAATTTTACAACAAATTCCTCGTCGTTTACTTCTTCGAGTGTATTGAGAAGCTCTACTATGTTCTCTTTAATCAATTCTGACTTACTTATAAAGTCAATTTCTGTGAGTGCATTATTTGCTATATCAACTTGTATGTCTGGTGGATAAATGTTTAGTACATGTAGCGACTCATTTCTTCCCTGCAATGAAGCGAATAACTGAACGGCATCGTTGGGTACAACAATAACGCTTCCAATGATGACGGATGCAAATTTCATAAAAAACCGATAAAAATGATTACCAATGTCATCATAATGCATGGATACGGATCCTAGCACATGAAAGTCAAGTCCGTCGTTATTCAAATCCATTATTGATAAACCTTGAAATTTTGTATCAATGGCCATCATCACTAAGCTGTCCAGTTGCTGAAACGTCAAGTAGAAAAAAAAGCCCAATCCCAAGAGAACCAATATCGTATAAACGAATGCCTTGTTGTTTTCAAAACTAAAGTACTCCTTCGCTATTTCATTAACTGATTCACTACTACGAACAACCAAAAGCGGTTGTCGTTCGTCATTCTCTGCATCCCCAAATGCACTATCTTCCGTATAACTTCTTGACGTTCCATTCAGGGACGATCCGAATGTTGAATATGATTCCTGTCTTGCATCAGGGGTCTGTTCGTTTTCTTCCAAGGGGACTCTTGTTAATGGTGATATTGAACGATTAGAAGGTATCTGGGTCGACGTGTGGGGGTCATCGATTGTAGGACTTGGCGAGTCTGTGTTTCTGACGTTCGAATCCATAGTATTAGACGATACTATATGAACCAGTTTCTTAATAATGCTTCAATTTACCCGCTATATATACTGCCACAACTGAATAAATTGTAGTAATAGACGTGTTTATAGAAGTAAGGGTTTTTTGCGTCAAGTTCTTTTTTACCAGAAAATATATCATGACAAAAATTGGGACATATACATCGATCTTAAAACAAATGATATATATTATATATAAAAGGTAAGCATTGTAGTATATACTGGAGTAGTAAATGTACCGACATAAGTATAGTAAAACATAAAATATAAACTGAAAACCACTGGAAATAAAAATGAGGTTAAAATATCAAACAAAGGTCATAATTCGGCCACCCAGAGGTGTTTTACCGGATTAACGTAAGGTCCCATGAGAATGGTCATGTTCCTGAACACTTGGATCGACGTTAGGGTCGATATTTGGATCCACTGGAGGGTGTTGGTGGTGCATAGCAGCAGCAGCAGCCACCGCAGCTTCAGCGGCCTCTGTGTTGGGGGTAGCCTCCATTGCCGCAATCACCGCCGGGTCCTGGACCGAAGGCGTATGGGAAGCATCGTGGTGATGTGCGTGTACGTGAGGATGAGGTACGTGAACCTGTTGGTGTGGGTGTTGGTGTTGATGGGCAACCATATCGTTTGGATTGAAGTTATTGACCGGGTTGGAATTTCCACGGTTCAATGGCTTTTCAACTAACGTTCTGGTGTATTTTGATCTCTTCTTCTTGCTGGAAGAATTGACATTAGGCTCTGGTGGGTGGTTATGTTGGGGGTGGATCATTCTCAAAATCCATATTTCGCTGGTGCTATTAGCCATGGGGTTCTGGTTCTGGAACTCGTTAAGCTTGTCGTCTATGTCTTTGTCAAGAGCATCGTCTTCCGGCTTCTTGGCCCTCTTCTTGTCCTTTTCGGGAGGATACAAGTTTGCCACCAACCGGTACCCACACTTGTTTCTCTTGGTGTACGCCACTCTCTGTCTCTTAGTGGAGTCCTTAACTGTCGTTCTGAACGACCCCGACCTCTCACACTGGAAATATACCGCCTTCGGCTTCGACGAATTGATCACAATCTTGCACTGTTCCTCGTCGTTGAGCACGTTCTTCACGAACTTCACCAATTCTGGCTTGCTGGGAAACGTCTTGATGATCTCGTTTTCCATAAACTTCGACGTAAGATACTGGCCCCCATCGTACTCGCCTCCCACATGCTGACTTCCTCCCACCGGAGGTCCCACTGCCTCGTGCATTGGCGCCTGGTGCATCCCATGTTGCTGTAATGGTGGCTGTATGTGGTGTTGCGGTCCCATCTGGTGATGTGGAGCCTGCATCTGCTGCTGCTGCTGCTGAAACTGCTGCTGTTGCTGCTGCAACATCTGATATTGCTGCAACTGCGCTTGTTGTGCCTGTTGCACCTGTTGCTGTTGAAAGTGTGCCGCCGCATTATAATGGTGCTGATGTGGATGAAACTGACTCCCATCGTCTAGATGCGCACCTGGCGCCATCATTCCTGAAGCTGCTGCAACTGCTACCGCCGCTTGATTATAATCTGGCTGTCTAGCAAGCTCATGTTGATGAGGGTGAACCTGTTGGTGTTGCGGATGAATAGGGTGATTATTTGTAGCTACCGTCGATCTTTCACTCGAAGTTGAAGGTCCCAGCATCTTGTTCGCTCTGTCTTATCTCTTTTCAAGTCTTAATGAACTATCTATTGGGTTGTGAATATAAACAACGCTCCTGCACATGTAGGGGTTAGAATGGGAAAGGTGTTGTTGACAAAATTTTGGTGATAATTGGAGGTTTTGCAGGTTATGTCGATTCTGAGGATTTTGGGATATTTTGCAGGTTAGGGCTTTTGGTGCGATATGATAATAGTACCTAATAAATGGGACATAAATGATGAGCTTGGAGTCGATTTATTGGCATAGTGGGCGTATAAATGATGCAAATTGACCGTACGCAGATGCAAAAGGTTGTGTCGGATATACAGACAGACCATGCAGACCAGGAATTACATTGGCTTATTTCTCAGGTGATTACACCGGAATTTCCCCAGATTATCGAGGCTCTCGGTATATGCTCGAATCTCATCTTGTACAACTCACCACAGCACCCCGATGCACAGAAACGGATCGAACGGGGACCGGAGATCAAGCTCCCGGTGTCGTCGACGAAGCTGGAGGCATTAAAGGGGATAATTGTTCGGGACGGGGCGTATGTGACGCAGATGACGGTGCAGTTGAAGGAGAGCCATTTTAATAAGATTTTGAACAAAATGACGCTCAAGAAGCCGGTGTTGCTTCCGCAGATCATTGAAGCCAAGAAGTCGATAGACGCGGCAGTGGGGCTCATTGAGCGGGCGTCGAGCGAGGTGTTGGACGACGATTGTGATCAGGAGCACACCCGGCTCATTGCCATGTTCCACCAGATGCTTCGCGAGATCCAGATTGCGAAAAACAGTTTGCAGTTGCCCACGAACCCCGAGTTGATGTTTCCGCTTAATGTGACGCCGGCGTCGTCGTTTAGCCCCGTGCTCACCCCCAACATCGCTGTCGACTTGTATATCAGTCAGGCCGAGGTGTGCGTTGATCTCAAGTACTTGCACCAGGTGCAAGATCACCCATGGTCCGAAATTGACTCGCAGGGCAAATCGTACGTCGACAAGCTCAGGGACGACATGCGCTTGCCCAGTTCACATGCCAGCCGGTCCCTGACCCCGGCTGCCCCCCAGCCACTCAATATGGCCGACATCGAGCAGAAAATCCACCAGTCGGCCTCGACCACCCCCGACGGACTGCGCTCGCAGCCCAACTTCGTCAACAACGTGTGGAACCACATCCTGTTGAAGCCAAAGCACGACCCAATCGACTACATTACAAAGTGTGTCACCTACAACAACATGGTGGTCATGGTTGGCAAGAAAATCGAGGTTTCTTCCCCAGACCCGGTGCTAGTGAGCGCCCTCACAAAATTGGATAGCGTCGAGTATCTCGTTAGCAGCTTCTTGGAAAACCTCCAGAAGGTGGTCGATTCTCTTCGCCAATAGTCGCTGTTGACATCCTACCCCCCATCTACTCTGCCTACCCGTCATTTCTATACTTATCGTACATAATTCATCAAATTCCTATATAATCGTAACCGCGGTTAATACACGCAGTGACATATTGCCATAGTTAAGAATAACCACCAAAGTTGGCATTAGCATATGAATCTTTTCCTTAAATTCTTTGTTTATCTGGTTTTGTTAATGTATTCAGCGAAAGGCTTGTCTCGAATCATTAATTATAAGTCAGGTGTTAATTTACAGCAAGTATTTTACTCGAGTATATCCAAACTAAGAATGCAAAGTGACAAATATACCGTTTTGGCGGACAATTCCAGTGTTGAAAAACCGATATTAGACGACCGTTCGTACCGATTAATCAAGTTAAATTCAAATGACTTGCATGTCCTTATAATAAACGACGCTTCTACCGATAAATCTGCTGCTTCGTTGGACGTTAACGTGGGATCATTTGCAGATAAGAACTATCATGTCCCGGGGTTGGCGCACTTCTGTGAGCATTTATTGTTCATGGGTACCAGCAAGTATCCGGAGGAGAACGAGTATTCGAGCTATCTCTCGAAGCATTCGGGACATTCGAATGCGTACACGGCGGCAGAGCATACCAACTACTATTTTGAGTTGAGTTCTGATTATTTGGAGGGGGCGTTGGACAGATTCTCCCAATTTTTCATCAGCCCGTTGTTCAGCAAGTCCTGTAAGGACCGTGAAATAAAGGCGGTTGATTCAGAGAATAAGAAAAATTTGCAGAATGATATGTGGAGATTTTATCAGTTGGATAAGCTGACAAGTAACCCTCAACACCCATACAATGGGTTTTCCACCGGGAATTATAAAACATTGCATGAAGAACCAACGAGTCAAGGCTTAAATGTAAGAGATATATTGCTTGACTTTTACAAGAACCACTACTCTTCGAATTTGATGAGTTTGGTCATTTTAGGGAAGGAGGATTTGGACACACTAACTTCTTGGGCTATCGATAAGTTCTCGGAAGTTCCTAACAGTAACTTGCCTAGGCCTAACTACAACGGTGAGTTGATTTATAATCCTGATCATCTCGGTAAAATTATCAAGGCAAAACCAATCATGGACTCGAATAAATTGGAATTGAGTTTTATGGTTCCTAGTGACCAAGAAGCGAACTGGGATAGCAAGCCGGCCAGTTATTATTCTCATTTATTAGGACACGAGAGTTCTGGTTCTATCTTATATTATTTAAAGCAGAAAGGTTGGGTTAATGAGTTATCTGCTGGCAATATGAAAGTTTGTCAAGGTAACTCGATCTTTGTACTTGAATTCGATTTGACTCCAAATGGTTTAAAAAATTGGGAGGAAATCGTCGTTAATGTGTTTGAATACTTGAAGTTAGTCTTGAATGGGGAACCAAAATTATGGTTGTGGGAAGAATTGAGCAATATGTCTACTATTAACTTCAAATTCAAGCAAAAGCAAAGAGCCGCCCAAACCGTCTCTAAGATGAGTAACTCTCTCTATAAGTTTACCGAAGGTTCATATATCCCTCCTCAGTATTTATTAAGCTCTTCCATTTTAAGAGAGTTCAAAAGTCAAGAAATTAAAGAATATGGCTCATTTTTAAATCCAGACAACTTCCGTATTTTATTGACATCTCAATCTTTGCCGGACTTAGATGAATCTGAGCATTGGTACGGAACCCAATATTCCTATGAATCCATATCAAATAACTTGAAGGACAAAATTCAAAGTGCTGGAACAAACCAAAATTTCCACTACCCTATTCCAAACGAATTTATCCCTAAGGATTTTACTGTTTCGAAACCTAAGCTGGAAAACCCGTTACCTCATCCTTATTTGATTGAAGATAACAACAAATTTCAGGTTTGGTATAAACAAGATGATCAATTCCAAATTCCTAAGGGAGCTATTGAAATTGTATTGCATTTAGCAAATGCAAATACTTCGTGCAAATCATCTATTTATACCATGCTTCTCAGTCAGTTGATTGATGATGAATTAAATGAGATCGTTTACTACGCATCCATGGTAGGTATATCGTTTACAATAAATCACTGGCGTGATGGTTTATTAATAAGGGTTAGTGGTTATAATGATAAATTACCAGTCTTATTGGAACAAATTCTTCAAAAGCTTATTACTTTTAAGCCTAAGGAAGATAGATTTGAGGTTTTCAAATTTAAACTTAATCAAGAATTTAAGAATTTTGGATTTGAGGTTCCTTACTCACAAATTGGCACTCATTTCTTGACTTTACTCAATGATAAAACTTATCCTTATGATTTAAAAATCGATACCTTAAACAAAGAGATAAATTTTGGTGAATTGCTTGAATTTTCTACCAGTAAAATTTGGGAGCAGGGTGTATTCGGAGAAGTATTAATTCAGGGCAATTTCAACGACTCCAAAGCATATGAGATATCAAGGGCTGTCCAAGGCCACTTCACTGAGTTCAAAACTATTCATGATAGCCAGGAAGAAATTAATGAAATTGTCAAACTTAAAACTCACATTGTTCCACCTAACCAGAGAATTAGATACGAAGTAGCATTACAAGATAAAAACAACATCAATTCATGTATCGAGTATTTTATCCAAGTCAGTGATTCATTTGATGATGTTCGCTTAAGAGTTTTAACAGATTTATTAGGAACTGTTATTCACGAACCATGTTTCAACCAATTAAGAACAAAGGAACAATTAGGATACGTCGTGTTCTCCGGTACAAGGTTAACTAGAACCACTTTAGGCTTCAGAATTTTAGTACAATCAGAGAGATCTTCCGAATATCTTGAATACAGAATTGAAGAGTTTTTAAACCAATTTGACAAATTTGTGAAGAAAGATCTAACCGACGAAAACTTTGCTAAATTTAAGCAGGCATTGAAGGATAAAAAATTAACTAAGTTGAAAAACTTGAGTGAAGAAGTTAATAAATTTTGGAACTCCATTATTAGCGGGTACTATAATTTCCAAGAAAGAGAAAAGCACGTTGAAGTACTCGATTCCATCACCAAGGATGAATTCATCAAATTCTACGATGATTATATTTCTACGACCTCTAATGTTTCTTCGAGAATCATAGTTCATTTGAAATCGCCTAGCGTACCTAAGCTCGAAAAACTGAAGTTACTTCACAGTTCCATAAATAATTTTATTTACCGGAATGAGTTTAGTATCAGTTCTGACGTTTTGGATTCTCTAATTGAACCAAATGCTGATGATGTAACTAAACTTGTGGATGTGTTAACCAACGCAATTGCGGAGAAGAAGGAGAACAATGTTTCCGATAAGGATCGTTTGAAATCTGATTTATCTGAGACAATAAACAGGGAGCTTACGACTCCTGTACCACCTCAGTACCCATCCGGTAAATTAGTTGAAAATGTTGATCAATTTAAATCAACATATCCAGTTGGTGATATTCCTAGACCAGTTGAACCACTTTCAAATTTCTATTACTCTAAGCAACCTGAAGATCATGCCCATTTATAATTTATATATATATATATGTATATACAATAGATATAGAGTATTTTACTATAAGCGTTATATACAGTATATTATAGTATATCAAAATCGATTGATTAATTAAGAGAATCCCATGAACGGCAACCCTTCTGCTATAAAGACTAAGATGACGTTGAATCTATCTAGAGTGAGTGAAACATACTTCAATAAATTATTCGAAACAAAGGTTTCTCCTCAATCAACGGAAATCAAAGCAAGGGTGCTTTTGGTGGATAAACATACAACCCCAATCATATCTATGTCCTATACACAATCACAATTACTTCAAAATGATATTGTTCTTGTAGAAATGATCGAGAATCAAAGTAATTTAAACGTTATGAAGCATCTTAATTGCATTGTTTATATCAAACCTACTCAGGATTCTATAAGGAGTTTGATTAAAGAACTAAAAAGTCCACATTTTAACAAATACGAGTTGTTTACTAATAACACTTTGAACAAAAACCAGTTGGAAGGGCTTGCAGAAGCAGATGAATTTGAAGCAATAAGTCAAGTTCTTGAAATATTTCAAGATTATTTAATTGTGAACAACAATTTATTTACAATCAATATATCCAGCGGTCAGAACACTATAATGGAAGAATCAAATAGCTTAGCCAGTTTATTATTATCATTGAAGAAATGTCCGATAATCAAGTATGAATCCAATTCGATTGAATTGAAGAAATTGAGTTCAGAAATATTATACAACATTAATTCAAACTCTAACAACAATTTGTTTGAAGACTTGAATAAGAATTCTGATGTGCCCCCAATATTATTATTACTCGATCGTAAAAATGACCCAATAACTCCTTTGATTCTTCCATGGACATATCAATCGATGATACATGAATTAATTGGTATTAATAAGAACATGGTGGAAGTGGAAGAATCCCAGGAACCTATAATCTTATCTGAATCTCAAGACCCCTTCTTTAAGCAATCCATGTATTTGAACTACGGTGACTTGACTGATAAATTCCAGGAATATGTTGAAGAATACAAGAAGCAAACAAAACAATCATCTATAGAAAACTTGAAAACACAAAATCTTTCAGAATTGAAAAAGGTATTAACTAAATTTCCCGAATTCAAAAAGCTCCTGAACAACATATTGAAGCATTTGAACTTAATTAGTGAGTTAGATACCCAGATTTCACGTCAAAGTCTTTGGGAAGTCAGTGAATTACAGCAAACGATTATCTGTAATTTAGAAAACCAACAAGTTATCAAGACCAGATTATTAGAAATCTTAGACAGAGCGACAATTTCTACTGAAAATAAAATAAAATTGGTGTTGTTATACTCCGTCAAATTCAGTCAAAATGATAATGATTTAGCTGTGTTTTTGAATAAATTTCATGACCCTGCTATCACTAATCCGGTACCAACAGTGTCACAAATGTCATTGATGAAAAATTTCAACAAACAATTCAATAAAACTCCAATATCAACCAACAATAACAACAGTAATAATATTGGTAAAATTTTTAATAATAAGAAAATAAGTATTAACCTGTTATTCAACAATTCGACTAATAACAGTACCACGAACAATATTTACATGCAATATATTCCAAAATTAAATGAACTATTGAATGAATTAATAAATCAGAGCCAGAATCATTCAACCCAATTTCATTTATCTACATTAGTTCCTGATATAGTTACTAAGCAATATGGGAATGTAGGTGATTCAGTACAAGATATCATAGTCTACGTCAAGGGGGGAATTACGTTTGAAGAGTCAAGATTGATTCATGACTTAAGTTTGTCAAACAATAAGATTAATTTGATTATTGGTAGCGATACTATCTTGAATAGTGAAAGATGGTTAAATAAAATGTATGATGATATTAATGAAACCCATACGAATCAAACCAATACAGCTGATCATGGATTGAGAACTAAACAATTAAGAGACATTTTATAAATGACATATAACTATATAACTATGGAGCATATTTACCAAATTGCTGTTCCCAATTTAGTATCTTTTCAGTTAACTTCTCCATCAATTGTAAATTTTCATTAAAGCCATCAATAACTTTATTATTATCTTGGTCGATTTGTTGTTGGTTCAAGTCAATTTTGTCTTTGTAGCTAAATAACTCGATTTTATTGAGTTTTTCTTCCTCTAATTCTAGTTGTGATCTACCTAACCATTCTAAAATAGCCCCTGTTCGTTTCCTTAATTCATAAATAGAAGATTTTTCATTCACGTATCGAGGCTTCGACGCTTGGTTTATTAGCTCTTCTTTTGTCATAGTAGCCAGTGCCAAATCGTTGGAAGGGTTTTTGGCGACTTTGGATTTTGAGCTTTTAGGTTTTATTTTCAGTTTCTTCAACTTAGAGTCCCCTTTTATTTCATCATTCATCTCAGTCTCTTCAGCATTTGATTGATCTTGTTCAGACTCATGTTTGAGTTTTTTGTTTGTATCACTAGAATCCCCGTTCTTCTTACGCTTATTTTTATTCTTAGTATCATATGATATGCCACTCTCTTTAGCACTTTCTCTCAAAGCTTGTTGTAACTGTTCGTCATAACTTTCATCGTAATGCCTGCGTTCCTTGCGTGGGTGTTTATTACTCTCCGACGCTGATACGGGAGAAGAATTGGACTGTCCTTGACGTTTAGCTTTATTTCGCTTATTGTTATTCTCTTGGCTGATACTATTCTCAAGCAATAATTTCTTACGTTTATCATTGACAGGCTTGTATAAAGATCTCACTGTCTCGTTATTATCATATATGAATATGTGTAAGTCCGGTTTGCATATCTCACACCAATACTTCTCTGGAACGTCTTCGTTTATAAATAAGCCAACACAGTATCCATGCTGCCATACGGAGCATTTATCACATTGGATAAACAAACCATTATCAATCTTGATTTGATACTCCTTCCATAGCAACGCATGTAGCTGTGGGTTTATACCTCGTGTATTCACTTCATCTTGTCCACAAATACATCTCGTCACTTCTTGCTCTTCATCGACTTCATCTTCTGCTTCTGCCTCATAATTATTAATTTCATCATCTTCTGGGAACTCTGAGTTCAATTCTGATTGATCAGAGTAGGCCTTAGATCTACCTGAACGACGTGACATTATTCTACTTAAATATACGGTGCGTTTATAAGTATAGCGAATATAGAGAATATTTTATATTCTCATTACTTATCTGATATTTCATTATTTTTGTCCTCATTTTGGTCTCACTTTAAATTTTGATTTGTATAAAAAATCATTAATCTAATAGGATTATGAATACGGAATTCATGAATAATGTACATCAATATGGAGTGTATTGTTTCGGAACTTTTCTAATTTCTTTTTGTTGGTAATTAAACCTACTATCTACAATCATTAAACTAAACCAACTCTCACATAACTGGATGACGTCAGTATCATAATTCAAATCTATCTCCATATTAAATTTGACAAATTTTTACAGCCTAGAGGGTATCTTAAATACTTGTATTTAATACATAAAAATCGTAACACTAAATTAATAACACCACACAAGTGGTAAACAAAGGTCAAAGGATTGGCGAATGAAGGTTTTAAATGCTCAAGTCAATCGATCCGTTTCTATCGTAGATCCCAGGAATTCTCACATATGGATCCAAATCAACATATGACTGGGCAATCTTTGTACCAAGATCGATCTTATCTTGCAAATATCTAGCACTGACATCCGAATTTGTGGATTCTATCCATCTCTTGGTGGTCTCTAAGAATTTAACGAGATTGTCATTCCTTTCTTTCTTAATTTGACGATAGACGGCATCTTTGGGTTTTGGGGGATGACAATCTTCAACTGTTGGTTCTGGGTATTCACCAGCATATGGGTCTTTACCGCCCATCGATTCCGGGAGGTTGTCACTATCAATGAATTGGTTCAAATCTTTGATGTTTTTAGTAAAATGAATCTTAGATGCAACTACTGGGTCAAGCCAGTTCTTAATGAGATTCCAAATAGTCGAAAAGATCCAAGGAGCATTATGAATCAAGATTGACCCCAAAATTTCAGGGAAATGGGCTTCAAAAATTTCTGCTAAAAACTTAATAGCTGGTAAATCATTATTCTTCAAGGAAAATCCTGTCAAATCGAAAATGACAGAACATTGATCTCTTGATTCACTAATATCTTTCAAATTTAATCTACTCCATTCGATAATGACTAGCGCGTACCTCTTAGTTCCTTCTAACGGAGAGTCTGATGAATAATTCAATCTAGCCTTGAATAAGACTATAGGGTTCTTCTGTTTATCTACGCCTCTTGTGTAGCATTTCCCCACAGTAAAATTTTTGATGAATCCTTTATTGGTACCATTCATATATGATGGGGCATCACCTTCAAGCAAAAACTCATCAACCTCCAATGTATTGCGTCTCCAGTCCAATGACTTGGATAACATAGCAATTGCTTCATCATATTTAAACTTTCTAGCTCTCACAAATTTTAACAAATAATTATCAAAGAGATCGTTTCTCAAAGCTTTAAATAAAGACGCATGTATTTCTTCTGGTTTGTACTTTGAGAGGCAAGGAATGACTTTGGTGTTGGGTTTAAGCTGAAGCAATCTTGGCGCCGATCCCAGTATTTGGGCACTAACATTCTGTTTTTCTACACCTTGTACCAATTCGTATGAACCCGGATCAGTGATCGATGTAGATGCAGTAATAAATGTGTCCATTGAATTCATATCCGACACGTCGTCCTCTGATTCTTCGTCCGATTCGAACCCCTGTTTGTAATAGTCATAATACATATACTTGAACTCTTCCGACGCATCAGTAACCGGTGTGTATCTTTCGGTAGTGTTTTGGGTTTCTATATCACGCATTCTCTTCGAATTTGCCGGTACCTTAGGAAGTTCAGTATGTCCTTTCTGAAAAAAGCCCTTCTTTTTCGTACTACTCTTGAGAGAAGCATTAGAACTAAGTGAGCCTCTCGTATTCGTTTTAACTAATCCATTGGAAAATCCCAAATCTCCTGTACCTTCTCCATATTCAATTGTAGTCGTCGAAGGAATAAAGCTCTCCTTAAACTTAATATCTTCACTTGAAATATTCACTTCATAACCAAAATATTTTAAATAGTGCGCCCAAACCTGCTTCAATACAATTTCTTGTTCAGCATTGATGGTCTGTATCCTCCCCGGTCTGTATTTCACGTTGTCGTAATTCGCCATTTTGCATGTATCCACTAGGACTTAGAAAATTCAAATTATATCTTTCTTAACTTCAAGGTAACCAAAATCAATTTCGCAAAGTCCCGACTTATTGATTATTCCGAAATAATGTTTTTACTAATAGTGCCGATTTATTCTACACCGTACTAATCACTACAACAGGATCCGGGCACTCATATATGGAATTACAGTTCACTTATATTACAATTATAAATCTATGAAGTATGATCGGGGTAATTCACGTAAATAATAGAAACGCATATGAATTTATATTCTGATAGATAGAAGTCACATGAACTATTATAATCATCTTCTTCTCAGTCTCATTTGGGCAATTTTCCGATTGCTCTTAATAATAGGAGGGGTTGTTGATAATGTAGGAGGGGTCATTCCAGATGTTGAGTTGAAGCTCTGGTTATTCATATCAGCGGGAAGTCCAGAATTAAATTGGGGCTGTTGAATACCATTTGCAAATTTAAAATCCGGCGTGCTCTGGTGAGCATTAAATCCAAATGGAGAAGATTCAGCTGATTTATTCAAACCGTTTACGCCATTCTGTATATTATTTGTATTCATATTGTTAGCACCACCCCCGAATATAGACGCAGGATCTGGAGTTCCTTCTTTGTTCACAGTCCCAGTAAAATTAAATAAATTATTAGGCTGTGGTGCATTCGAAGGCATCACATTTACACCAGTACCACTTGCGAATGAGAAGTTTGGTTTGGGGGTAGAATCTCTGCTTCCAAAACTGAAGTTTGGAGTTGTACTTCCACTTCCAAATGGTGCAGTAGGTTTCTCAAATGGCTTGGGAGCAGAGTCCTTATTTTGGTTCAATGCACCAAAGGATGGGGCACCTATGGCACTCTTAGGTTTCTCGCCAAACGAGAAAGATGGAGTTGTCTCCTTCTTTTCGTTGGCACCAAATGCAAACGCAGGTTTTGGGGTCTCGTTGACTTTAGGAGCCCCAAATGTGAAAGCAGGTTTTGGTGTTTCTTCTTTCTTCTCGGTGCCAGCTCCAAATGCGAAAGCAGGTTTGGGTGTTTCTTCTTTCTTCTCGGTGCCAGCTCCAAATGCGAAAGCAGGCTTGGGTGTATCTTCTTTCTTCTCTGAGCTAGTTCCAAATGTGAAGGCAGGCTTGGGTGTATCTTCTTTCTTCTCGTTGCCAGCTCCAAACGTGAGCGCTGGGTTAGGGCTATCATCTTTCTTATCGGTGCCGGCTCCAAATGTAAATGCAGGCTTCGTAGTTGTGTCCTCTTTCTTTTCTGTAGGTGCTCCAAATGCAAATGCTGGCTTTGTAGTGTCCTCCTTCTTATCAGTGCCAGCTCCAAATGCAAATGCTGGCTTTGTAGAGTCCTCTTTCTTATCAGTGCCAGCTCCAAATGTAAATGCAGGCTTTGTAGTGTCCTCTTTCTTATCAGTGCCAGCTCTAAATGTGAGCGTAGGTTTAGGACTATCATCTTTCTTTTCAGTGCCAGCTCCAAGTGTAAATGATGGCTTTATAGTGTCCTCCTTCTTTTCTGCAGATGCTCCAAATGTAAATGCTGGCTTAGGTGTATCATCTTTCTTTTCAGTCGACGTTCCAAAAGTGAACGAAGGCTCCGTTTTTTCGTCTGTTTTTCCAGCTGAATTGCTGCCAACCTTGTTCTCAGAAGATGCGCCAAAAGTGAAAGTCTGCTTAGGGATACCATCATTTTTGTTTGTTGAAGCTCCAAATGATAAAGACGGCTTCA